ACTAGACAATCACACAGAGGACAGATTGCTTCGGAAATGTCCCGAATGTCATACATTGGTACTCAGCCACTGCTATGCTGATACCATTTATGATGAAATTTATATCAGTTCCCTGGCGAATATCTAGGTGGTGAGCAATAACCGGAAAATAAACGTTTCTTTTTTGTGTTGTCGCGGAATGGTACTACGCACAATAATTATTAAGCATGATGTGTGCGAGTTTTCAAAACACCCTCTATACTACTATGACTTGAAGTCAATCGCAATTTAACTGGCCTTCTTCTCCAGCTGTTTTGTCTTGTGGGCTCTGATGCGCTCCGCGGTTTGTGCTCTCTGACCTTTCTACAAAAGCGGAGATCCGAAAGAGAATCCGAATCATTGTATATCATAGACCGTCCAGCTTGGTCGTGCCTGTTGAAGAATTGCCTATTCTATTCTTCGAATCTTGGATTAATTAGAATGTTTTCTCGCTCTGGAGGAGTCGTTAATCACCCTCACCTTCAAGTAGGACTCGCACAGTTCGCACCGGCTACCGGGGGATTGGTCTGTCTTCGGTCGTGCCTATCCTCTTGAGATCCGTTCCGCCCCTTGTCTCATCAGAATAGCATTGAAAACAGTATCACTAGAGGTAAGCTGGAATTCACGACGATTATTGTCTTTGATCCAGTTAACAGCGATTCAATTTGGGGCAGTCTACGGAGGAAGAGTGTGCCTGTGGGGCATTCTGAGAGCAATTTAGTCAGTTCTCTGGTCTGGCTAGGACTTACGGCAGCGTATCACCGATCTTCAGTATCCCAAGTGGGATGCGACAAGGCGACTCAACCCTTCTATTATTCAGCTTTACGGGCGATCCTTGAGTGCGCTATGGTGTATTGCGAACAAAATGCAGTGGACAGATTTCCAGGCCTTAAACTTCGAGAACTAGAGCATACAGACGACATATGATCGATAAGGGTTCACTGGTAACTCATAACGTCTTAGACGGGATATAGGTTTCGGCTCGTCAGTTTCGTATGGCCTTTGCACCTACAGGGTGCAAAGGCACTGTCGTCGAAGCTTGCCTCAGTAGGTTATCCCCGGCTTCCTGGCTGGGATTCGAAGAGCAGTGGACATCTTTGGTTAAGAACATTATCTGATTTTATGAAGAGCGGAAATCGTTAGTGAAACTCTGTGTGAATCGGATTACTGTCTTCCTTTTTCCTGCACTACCCTCTCCATTCTGCCTCGCCTAACCTCCAGTCTTTAGTTGTGGAAGCACGTTTCCAATGTTGTGTCGCTCTAATATATATATATATATATATATATATATATATATATATATATATACATATATATATATTCGCGGACTGCGAATGAATAGCATTACTTGTCGGTATTAACGGTGCCACATGAGCGTTGTTGACGTTCGCCGATATTTGTTGGAAACACACGGCTCCCTTTTGCACGCATTAGTTTGATTTCATCGATGAAGCTGTTTGGGACACCATGTATTCATGTCTATCCAACGCTTAATATCTCACCCGTTGTTTGTGCTCCCTGAATGCGGTAAAAATCCAGTGTTATGGGCAACCTCAACTTAATGTAAGAACATGAAGAAATTAGCCCCAGCTTTACACTTCGTCGGTTCTGTTCGGCTTACCGACGAAGGCCTAAAAGATCCTGGGCGTTGCAGACAAGAGAAGCAGGGATAAGGCTGCACATTGTAGTTAATGGCTTGAATGTTATGTCTGTTGTTATATTGACTTTTTTTTAGCAGACTTTCATCCGAAAAGAGGAACTTATAAAATGAACAGAAACCTAAACTTATGGCAACAAAAGTGGCAAATTCGGGTGCTGTGTGAAATTGACAAAAATGTTATAATTCTTCTTATCATTCTTTGTATTCACTTCTTCCACGGTCTGAAGTGATATCCACTCCTCCTTCATATTTATGTTCAACAATATCAAAATTAGCCATTCTTTTGATAACTTATGTGAAAACCACCTGCTACGACTTATCTTACGGAAGAACGCACGCAAAAACACCTTCATTATGTAGTTTTTCCCCTACTTCTGTTTGACGCGTGCACAGTTTCCCGGAATGTGCGAGATGCGTTTAATGATTCCTCCCGCGATTGTGTTACTGCGGTTTTCAATTTGTTGATGTGCCAGATGTTGTCGGATGACTTTTTCTCGGCTGAACAACGGCCTGACAACTGTTTCACTTTCGGCCAATTGCATTTGTTAGGCTATGTCGGCAAAGTGGAGCAGGCGGAGTGTGGATAAACGTGTGTGTCACTTGAACCTACTCGTAACCTGCGCTAATCCCTCAGCTAATGATTACAGTGGAAATCAGCTCTGGTTAACTGTGACTTGTGATCAGTCCGGACTGACGGAAATGGAGATTAGAACGTCTGGATATCCAGCCACGGCTCAGTTGATTCCTAACGAGCGAGTTGGAATCACCGCCCCGTTTTCTGACAATAATCGGAAGATTGCCCAGATAGCTACGCTGTTCAGTACCGAGCGCGACCGCCAAATTCCTGTTAGTGCTTGGAACATTTACGCATTGGTTTTAAACCGAAGATGTATGCGACCCTTTATCATGCTGGCAGACTAGGATCGCAATCCGGTGATGTCGATGACTTTGAGCTTGTTCAAACAGTACCCAGAATTCCTTGATCAGCCTTACAGAAAATAGCGCGAATGCAATACTTCCGGGTATTATGCGCATAAGACTTGAAGAAAGCTAAACTTTCGGTCAGTTGGTTAGCAATCGGAATCATAGATTAAAAATGAACGTCGCGGTCCATCTGTGAACGTCCGACTCAATTTCTTATTTCTTCGAACCTAGTAATGACGCTGAGATAGTCTTGGCATATAAACTAGCGCATCTGGACGATGGGACTAGGTTTCAATTCATAACTGAATTAGCGAAGCGCTTCTAATTGGCAAGACAGTCTTTGGGTCGCTCATATGATCTACTGACGAGTTCTAACAAAAACGAAACTGGAGTATGGTGTTTTTCGAGAGAGGTTGGCTGAAATTTCTACGGCAATATGAGACCTTTGATCAATTGTGAATGATGTTTAACCTGTATTTGTCTTTAAATCTTTAAGAGGAATCGAGAAAGACGGCGCGATTGGTGCTTCAATATTCAAACGGATACAACCATAAAATCATCACAATTTCATGGGGATAGTGTATTGCTTATCTGATTCTAAACAGGGCGAATTCGTTCTGTCATGCTTTTTTTTCGGTGGTTGACATTAAAACCACATTGCACCAGATCAGCTCCGTGTTGCCCAAAGGATGCGTTCCAATTCTGAAAAGTCTTAGACAGATCGACTATTGCTTACTGTTAATCAACATTCAGTCGAGTCGTTATGTTTGTCTTCACAGGCCAGAAAGCGTCCCGTTTCAAGATCCGGTTGCCTAATCGGTTTTGTGACCTTATCAGTGAAGTAGGCCAGGTTATGCGAGCAACATGATATAAACTTGGTGTTTCAGCTGACGAAGAGATGCGTATAGTTTGTTGAAAGTAGTTGAAGTGCCTGTCTACGTTTTCGTAGCCAGTTAGCACAGTTTAGCTTCGAAGTAACTACAGTTTTCCTGTACGTTGCTATACCACACTACGCTATGCGGATTGGCAATTAATGCGAACCAACCTAATATTAGAAACAAAGACATGCATCATACTCTGAAGACTAGTTAAAAAACGAAATTACTCGCGACCGATTTCGTCTTCGGGTCATCTGTCAGGCTGCTGGTGAAGACAAACGCTCACCATCTAAGACCACACAAGTCAATAAACTGAGAAGCCTAGCAACAATCACTAACAGTTTCTCGTATGTCCCAGCGAATTATGCGTTCGTGATTATGGGTCTGAGCCAACCGGGTGTAGAAGAAACAAACCCTCTTCACAACATGCATGTTCTTCCGCATATCATGTGGTTTAAATTAAGACAGCTAGTTTTCGCTTGATCTATCAAACACATGATGCTCAATCAGGCTGCAAATTGGCTGACTATCCTGGTAGCTGAGTTATCAGTAACCGAAGACTCGAAACCACAAAATCTCCCTTGTTCTGTACCTTGTTTTTTTTATGGAGTACAACATAGTTATCTGCTTTAGCATTCGTTGTCATTTTGACCCTACTAATTACACGTGGTATACATTTATCGTAACGATCTCGACTAGCCAAGTTAATGGTGTTATTTTTGCAAGTGTTTTGTCTCATCGATGATCAGCTAAATGCCATCGACTTCCTTCAACATAACCGAGTTTCACCAGCATCAAGCACGCCGGTGAGTCGAACACAATACTTGTGAGTGTGTTTCAGAATAGTTATCTACAAGATCATGTGGTCGCGGTCACTAAGGTTTTTCAAGGTCCAACATCTCTGAAAACAAACCGGTGGTTAAATTTGAGGCTAAATTTTCAGCGTTTACGTCACAAGACTTCAGCCGAATTCGCTGATGTCAGTTGACCGAGGATCTCAGTAAAACACAATTGGGACGCGGCCACGAACTGTTTTTCACACGTTGAGGACAGTTTGTGGCCGTGTGTACCCACCGCGTCTGGCTCTGCTCGTTAGATTAGAATTGGATAATATCAACTTGTTCAAGGTAGTATTAACAAACAAAATGACTGCGCTTGATGAACAATGTTTTACCACTGAACGGTGATTTCAAACACCTGGCCTTCATATCACCCAAAATGTCACAAAACAAGGAATTGTGTTACTAATAAGTAGTTTGACGGATTTATGATTTTAGATGAGACACAGTTGTGAAAAGTCAGGGCTTCGGCTGGATTCAAACCAGCAACAGAAACAACATGCCCCAACGCAGCAAGTGCTCTACCAACTGAGCTACGAAGCCACACCGGGAGCTCGGAAATTTCACATTTGGACTGTGTTATCCACCCGTCCCACTGTGTCATGAAATCCACCAAATGATCGAGACAGTGGAACCGATGAGTAACAGAGGCCATATGTGAAATTTCCGAGCTCCCGGTGTGGCTTCGTAGCTCAGCTGGTAGAGCACTCGCTGCGTTGAGGCATACTGTTTCTGTTGTTGGTTTGAATCCAGCCGAAGCCCTGTTTTTTCATAGTTGTCTCATTTAAAAGCAAGGAATGTCAGCTCGGTATGTAAAATGGAAACGGAACACCTAGTTTTTGCCTGGCCATTTAGTAATGCACTGAATACAGTGCAGTTTTCTAACATAATGGTGGTGGTATTCATGTCCTAACCGAGCCTAACATTGCACGCGCTGATTATCTTTTTATCGCATTGAAGCGTATCTCACCTGTTTGTGTGTTGACTGTCAACCACCAGATGGAAGCAGGCCATACTGTTGGTTTCTCCTGTCATTTCTCTGACCATGTGATGAGACATCTTTGAGTTTCCGGATTTGCTCACCTAGCTACAGTCAGAGTACACGCTTGTTCTACATTATCGGAAGAGATTATTAGATCTACGTACTGTACGATTTAGAGTTAGCTTTCTGTTTACGGTGACTCTCAATAAGGCCACAACCAACGATATCACAGTTCCGAGCTCTTCAACTCGTTGCGTATTCACCTCGCACAACAGTGTCGCAAAATGGAGACAATCGATCTGGCGAGTCTAGCAGGCCTGTACGCGTAGCTGGTGATACTGCATCGGGAACAATAGGGATCGTTACCGAATCCCCGGATGAGCACAGTGAGACGGCGCTACTTGCTGATCCAGACGAACATAACAACGCCACCGATCGGCCGTCACCATGTCGGATGGACAACCATGGTTCGGCGGACTCTGAATCGGATATGGGCTCGTTCGAATCGACCACTAACTCTGCTTTATCTTCGTCGTCTCGAACCTCCTCGGATCGCAACTCCGGTTCCAGCGATACAGACTCAAACAACGAACCGAATGGAAGTAGTCCCGTTCGTTCCGTCAGTGGAGTGTTAAATGAGAAACGTAAGGGCAAGCACAGGTGAGTCATTATACGTTTCCTTTTTCCTTTTTCTTCCTTTGCTATATACTCAGTCTGCTAATTCTTCCGTGTTTTTGGTGAACTCATAGCATATGCATCAACCAATCTTTTTGGTGTTTTACTTCTGTGGTATGCGTGCATTTTCCGATGTTCCGGTAAGTTGGAAAAGCTCACAGTTAGTCACTAAAGTTATAGTTATATATGCTATGTAGACTTGTTTTCTAACCATTGCGGAAGTTTTAGTTCTTTATGATTTATCGCCTGTGATTCACACACTTAGGACTGTGTTTTGGTTTCAGTTGCCAAACATTAAAACAAGACACTGCTCACACTATACGCTGACGAGTAAATGTTTTAAGCATTTATTTATCACATCAGTACAGTAGTACGTGTGTGACAAAATCTCATTCAGTGTCTTATTGACAGAGTACTGAAAATGTGTTCTGCAGACACGTATGATCATTCACTAGTGTGTTAAAAGAAAATGGTTGTCCTGATTCTTTTTTACCACTCGAGACATAATCATAGTCTTACCACAAGATCTGATCGGCATGGTGCAGAAGAAAAACATCCATACGACTGCCATGCAAAAATGATATCGCCACAGAGATAGTAAATCATCAACTTCATCTAACCCGTATACACTTTCTCAGTTCCGTGATGCTAGTCCACCGCATCCCATTGCTGATATCAGGCCTGAAAGCTGAACTACTTATTTCAAATTAACTCATGGTTAGATATCCACCTGTGGTATAACGGAATATATAGGTGTGACGACGATTTGTTTGTCCAGTCCGATCTGAGTTCCATTCAACTTGACTGGGGACTGGTTTGACCAAGTCGATCAACAGCACAGTCTGCGGACCTGGTCATCACTGATCACCGAGTCGACTTCGTCGTGACTTTGCATGTTGTATGTATAGTTCTGACCGGCCACTCCAAATTGGATGCTGACCATCATTGTATTCATCGGCGCTCGGTTGCTCAGTTCAAATATATTTGCGTCGTATGCGCTCTGTTGCTGTATAGCATATCACCAGCTTCTATCCACCTCTAAGTGTTTGAACCCAACTTTGTGATGTATTGGTTGCTTGTCATTTGGCTTCTTGATCTGTAGTTGTTTTGACTGCTGTAACACTTGACATGAAGCTATGGTATCTACTTAATCATTCGTTTATACCTACTGCTTTTATTTCCCTAAACATACAACTGTTATTGTTCTAGTGAAGTATTTGTTTGCCAGCGTTTCTTCCATTACTTATGGGAAGTTTCGCGGCATTACACAAGCTTGTCTGCATATATGTTAACTTTGAACAATTCACGGAGATATTGCCGACTCCGGTTCTAGTGATAACATATGTTTCCAGCCAGTTGTATGGATGGTTTGTTTCTAAATTAGCGGTGACATCATCCGATCTTGCCTGAAGGAGTGCTCAAAACCACCATAGTTCATGACCACAATATTGCCTGATCACCTTGAAATTTACAAGTTGTTGAGTTGGGTATATCCGGTCAATGTCGTACGTACTCCCTATGTCATCTGATCGTTTACCGTACCGAGCATTATATACTGAGACCACCAACAATTGGGTAAAACCGCGTGGTGGTCAAGCAACAACGTGGTCACGAAATATGAAAACATTGACTGCTCCATTGAGCAAAGTGGGTAGGTGTCGCCTGTCTGGATGGGGTCCTCATGATCACCCGAACCGTTGGTTAGAGACGCTATCCGAGATGGCGATATGTCGCAGTCAATGGCGTACCTGTATCCATACCATTTCTAGTTCTTCCGCTTAGTCTTCTTTTATTAATGTTCAACCTTCCCAGTAACGTTTTTTCCTAGGATATTCCACGTCACTGTTGAGGTGATCGGCGGCCCGAGCTACAGTACCTTTTGGTAAGGCTCATGATTGTTATGATGATGATGATGGTCAATGTCGACTTGTTTCTTTAGTTGTCTCTCTTCTGTATTGTTCGGTTCTTCTCTGTTCTACGGTACAATCTCTGCTTTGAATTAGTAAAATCGGTTCTCAAGGAGAATTGCTGGAAAATCTTTCTAGATTTGGAAGGTACGCTCAAGTATGTGTGACGCTTCATTTACTTTTGCCGTATTCTCGACCACTTGTCAAAACTGCCATGTTTCTCGTTCTCGGTTTGACATTTCTTTTGTTCTTTTCTCCCGATTGTCCACAAAAATAGACGAATCGACTCCATTCAACTCTTGGCTATAGCAACAGGACGCCGCCCCTCGAAATTAGCACACTATTCCGGTGCACATCGCCGGCGACTCCTGACCTATCTGATTCGTGAGGCAAAGGCCGTCAATCACACTCTTCTACGCTTGAACAACGAAATGGAAGGCGAGTGGACTGAGTTAAAAGATCAGCGTGTGAACCTCAGTGCCCAGTTACAACACCTAGGTCTTCAGCCACCCTGATGACAGCGATTTGCCATTGATTTGGTACGCTTGCCTAACTTCACCCTGACCTCCAGCTCCAAAAAGTACACTCTGCTATGATCGCGCCGTGCATGTTTTGCCTTCTAGTGTCGTTTTGTGACGTCTTTTTCTTTCCTTCGTTTCTACCGCTAATCCGCTTCAACCACATATCATTTGCCGATTTTCAAAGGAGGAAAAATGTCAAACTCTTTATGCACGACATGTTCTACTGGCGTGGGTGGGGGTGTTTTCGTTATAATGAGGCATCCTTGGTTGATATATACTACCCGAAGACGCTTTCAAACTCAAACGATCTATGACCTGTTGGTTTAGTGAAGCGTACGACCAATGCCGACCTTAGTTATCACGAATGAGATCTCATTGCACCAATGTAATGAAATGTTTCCCTATATGTTATTAATTATTACACGTTACCCCTAACCTGACTGACTGACTCGCTTTTTTTTCTGTTTGCACGATTCTGACGATTAATGGACACACTCGTGTCCACGCAACGCGTGATTCGTGCGAGAGCAAGTGTTCGCTCCACTGAACTTGGATAGCAGTTTTCCCATTAAGAAAAAAAAAACGTTTCTTTAAACTCCTCTACTGTACAGTCGCTACTCCACTGCCGTATGAAGTCGCTTCGCTCTCATTTCTAGTGTTTACGATGTTCCGTACGATTGTAAATAGCTTGTATGCACCCACACGAACGTATTGTGAACCGCACTGTATTCCTTCTGTCCGGATAAAATTGACAAGGAACGAATATCGAATCATCCAGCTGAGTGGAAGAAAATTGTCCGGAAATTATTTCAGGGAATCATTTGTGTTTACAATGTTCGCAGTATGAACGGACCTCTGGTTAGGATAGAACCCCAGTTATTGACGATTTATACTAGATGACTAATTAACCGGAAACCATAACAACACTGGGACGATCAGCACAGTTTTACTACTGCGTACTAGAATAACCCTAGTTCGGCAGTGAGCACATTAACCTTGTTAATAGTATTAATATATAGTCATCTCCAATAAATAAGGGCTTCGTTTGTCAAAACAATTTGTGTTTACAATGGATTCCGTTTCACCAACAGCCACTATCTTGTGGTAATTACTTCCCAGATCACAGCATTTATGTCTTCATAGGAATTTTGAACCCAGTCTGTTTCATCCTTTTGTAAAACGAGAGTTGTTTGTTGGGAAGTATTTTGCTTACTCTTGACGGACTGATCCACATACTGAGGAGAAGCTTCAATGGTCTGATCTGTAGACGAACGAATAGCCAAAGTTACTTCTTCATCAGATGCATCCTCGACAAACTGAGTCATGTATAGATCATTTTCGTTTGTTGTATGTTTCGTTTACTCGTGTATGTTTTCATCTGTGATCATTTCCGACAGTGGCAAGTTCTCATCAACGGTCTCGAGCAGAGATAGTAATGTTCTTCAGCCTTATCCTCGAGCTTACCTCAACTCATTGGTAGTTAATTTATTGATGGGATTTGGAGTCAACCTTACTTTGTTTCATCAGCTACTCGCATCTACGCATTGCGCACCAAGAGGTTAGCAGTTCTGTCACAACACATCACGAGGAAGACCAATGCACGCACACATCAAATTCATAGGTTTGACAAAAAGATCGCTGAGCAAGGCACTATTCTTGATAGGTGACGGACTATTG